GAAGCCCGCTCAGCTGTTGTTAACCCATTAGCAGTCACTCAACATTGTAGCAAATTACTTACTCAATTTCGCGGATGCCACTCCCGCCCAGGTAATGATAGCTCAAAAACCTTCGGTTCCCGTGGGGTTTAACCTCGGTATGGATGCCAAACAACCTCTATTCCAGTATTGAAGTGACGTCTACCGTTAGGTGGCGAAGACCCGGATTAACTTACCTACATTGTGATTTCTAGCGATTTTAGAGCCCTCTATGTCTTGAGTATGATATTAATAAGCAATCCAAAGCTGTGAAGTTCAACATGTATGATATCATACCACTCCTGCACGTGTTCTGTGTGACCATTAGGGCATAACCCCACCCCACCACTCAAAGACAGTCTTTCCACACACCATGGGCAAATAGCACTAAATTGGAGAATCATTCTCCACCAACGACCTTAGGAACGACAAACGACCTGACAACCGACGACAACCCGCCCATCAATTTCGAGATCAGCAAAGATGGTTGGTTTTCTTCCTCCCTTGAAGGACACAATTTGCCGGTTTGAAAAATGCTGAATTTTTTCTTCCATAATTGTAGGTCCGATACGCCGCTGTTCCTAATAATCCTTCGAAGTCCGCAAAATCCCGCGGGTCTTTCCTCCGTGTTTCCTTCAAGAACACTCGCGAGACCGCCCAGGCCATCAACCGCATGAAGCTTTCTCGGGCTATTGCTTACTTGGAGAACGTTAAGGGTCACAGGGAGGCTGTTCCTATGAGGCGATATGCTGGATCGACTGGAAGATGCGCCCAAGGTGGGTTTCTGGAGATTTTGCATGCGTCCATTTTGCGTTGAAGTTTGGTCGGATGCGAGGTTTTGGGAATGTGGAGTGGCCAATGGTGCTAGACCGAGGAGGATGTTATTGGACGGATTTTGAGATTCAGTACTCTCACCAAACTGACATTCGGAATGGATATTGAGTTTGGATATACTGGGGATGGATGGAATGTGCTAACGGATATATTTGCACAGGAAAACAATTCGGGGTTTCCCGCGCTCGTTGGCCCGAGAAGTCTGCCGAGTTCCTCCTTGGTCTTCTCCGCAACGCAGAGGCCAACGCCGACACCAAGGGCCTCGATAATTCTAACCTTATCATCTCCCACATTCAAGTCAACCAAGCTCCTAAGCAACGCAGAAGGACATACCGTGCCCATGGCCGTGTACGTTACCAATTTGTCCAGCATTAGCCCCCCCCTAACTGACCCCTCTTTTTGTAGATCAATCCGTACATGTCAAACCCCTGCCACATTGAGGTCATTGTCTCCGAAGCCGACGAAGCCGTCGCCAAGGCTCCAGAGAACAAGCTCGTTAAGCTGAGTGCCAAGCAGAGGGGAAGGTCTTTAGCTGAGCAGAGACGTATCGCTGCCTAACTCTGTTGGCCTACCGGATTACAGGGGGTTTCTGGGTGATGGAGGGTGTATGAAAATAAATTCAAGGGTTTTCTATAACTCGTAGTTGGATCAAGGGGGAGTTTCTTTTTTTATTTCCATCTTGTACTCAAAAAGTTATTAGGGTCTCTTTTTTTTTTCTTTTCCCTCATACTCTATCTTCTCCACTTTCTCGCATCATCCTCTCTAGAAAGCTAGTTAAAGAGGAAATCGCTCTGGATTTCATTCCTTTGCACAACTAGGAGGTTTGGATAGGAGCGTCGCTGGCACAGGTAGTATGGTTGCGACCTGAACAATGGCTTTGTTTGAGCCTCCGTACTAGTAGTGCCGCGTGGTGAACTTAGGACAGTAGGGCCGAATTTTGCTCATCGGTCGGCGCTTTTGAATACTGTAGTAAAGTCATGGCCGGAAAGTAATGAT